GCCGATTCCAGGTCGATGCTTCCCCCCACTCGTGCCAACCCGAGTCAGACGGAGCATGAGCAGAGTGAGAAAACACACGCAGACAACGCAACCAGTGTGCCTTCGGCATCCGGTCCACGCTTTCACTGCGCGCTCCCACGCTCGCGCTGCACCGCCCTCTGGGCGGAAGTGGGCCCCCTTGTCGGACGGGGTCAGGACGAAGATGAATTCGTTACAGGGCGTTCCAGAACGCTCTCAGAGCGTTCCAGAACACTCTGAAAAGGCCGCGGCGCCTGAGACATCCGCCAATGCCGCGGGATCTTAAATATTCTTAGTCTATCCCCGATTTTAGCTTCGTCTTGGCTTCGTCTTGTCTTGTGCCAGTCCCCTCCCCTCGCGTGGCCCCTCGGAGGAAGAAAGGGCGCGGGGAGGCGGAGGAGAGAGCCCCCTGAGCAAGGAACGGAGGCAGGAGGCCCTTCCCTCCCTGCCCCGGGGAGACGTTGGGCTCGAGCTCGCCAGAGCCTCGGGTCTGCCGACGCTTGGCGGGCGGGTGCCAATGGGGGGTGACCCAAATGGGGGGTGAAGAACAGGGCCCTAAAGGTGCCCTTCAGGGCCCCTTTAGGAGCCAGCAGGTGCCCGAAAGGGGCCCTGAAGGCTCCCTTTAGGGCTCTTTTCTTCACCCCCCAGTTGGGCCACCTCCCATCAGCACCCGCGCGAGCTGTTCTCCTGACTCGGAGAAGAAAGAACTATAGAAACATAAGCTTTCTGAGGTCCGCGCGGCTTTCTTGGATCTGCGCTGGGACCCCCTGGCGGCGCCTCGGGCGCCGCCCCTGACGCGCTCCGCGCGCCAGGGAGGGGGCCCAGCGCAGATCCAAGCAATATGCGCGGACCAGCGAAAGTTTATGCTTATGCCGTTTGCTGTTCCTCTAGCCTTGGAGTTTGAAGGTCCAGAGTCGGTGGTTCAAAGAATCGAGTAATTAGGGGATCGCCTGCATAATTGATACACATCGAAAGAACTGAAGAAAGACTCGAATAAGAAAAACTACATAAATATTCGAGACCGATAAAACAGCATAACCATAAGCTTTCGGAGGTCCGCGCGGATTTCTTGGATCTGCGCTGGTACCCCCTGGCGACGCCTCCGGCGCCGCCCCTGGCGAGCTCGAGTCCAGCGCGGATCCAAGAAATGTGCGCGGACCAGCGAAAGTGTATGTTTATGCCGGTTGTTGTGCCTCGAGTTCTGGAGTTTGAACATCCAGAGTCGGTTGTTCAAACATTCGAGTACAGGATCGATTGCAGCATGATATGCACCAAAACAATAATTGTGCGTCAAAACCAGAACATGCTTATATTGCTGGTAGATATATAGGAATATTATCCGTAGACTCGACGAACATATGGTGGGGCAAATCAACTCAGTAATCGATCCCCTACTCGAAAGATGGGGTCTTGAGGGATGGGGACCTATAGGCAGGGCTCCAAGGGTGGATTTCCGTTGTTCGAGGCACCTCGTCCTTTGGGACCCCATTCATCAGGACCAATTTTCTATGAACGACAGAATTCGTAGGATGTCTGCAGCCTCAAGTTTCAGGCGGGGTCCCGTCATTTTCCGGACGACGGCCAGCCCGAGTCCCCCGACCCCGAGTCTCAGGTCTCCCCTGCCGTTCTCCTCCCCGATGGCCAGCGGCGGTGGCGGCCTCTGTGATTCTCTGCCCACCAAGCTACCCAAACCCCAACCCGCAGGCTCCCAGCTGCACTCCATTCCCAGTGGGGGGGCGTCCTGGAACGTGAGCCCGCAACGCCCCGAACCCGAAGTGTGGGACTTCGGGTTGGGTTGGGGTGGTTTGGTAGATGTCGAGTGGTGGTTCGTAACCTTGCTCATTCTGTCGAATCGGTTCCGGAGCCTGAACGTGGCCCGCAGGGCCGATCGGCACATCAGTGCCGCCGTCCTGGAGCTCTCTTCAAGCTCCTCAGCTGATGGAAATGATGAAATGATATTGGGCCTCCACCCTCCAGGGGGCGAAGAACAATTTTTTGCGTCGGGGCGAAGAAATGATGAAATGATATTGGGCCTCCACCCTCCACCCTCCAGCCGGCCGTGCCGCATAAGAATCCGAAGTTGGACGTTGAGCAACTCGGCGAGGAAGGCGTACGCCAACGATTTGCACAGCATCTTTCGAGGTCTCTTGAGGACATTAACGAGGGCGGGGACGCCGGCTCCGATGTCGACCTCTCGTGGTGCCAGCTAGTAGATGCTTTTGAACGCGCAGCTGCCTACTCCTTGCCTGAGAAACCTAAGACCGCCCGACGGCCGTGGATCTCGGGGAGCACGCTGCAGCTCATTGCCTGGCGAAATGATGCCAGGCAGCGCGGGGATTGCATTGCGGAAAAGAACCTTGCGAAGTCCATCCGCCAGCACGTCGCCAAAGACCGCACGGTGTGGTTGGAAAAGCTCACCGCCGACGGCAACTGGGGTGAAATACGGAAGCTCCGGAAAGGATTTTGCCCTTGTCAAGGTCGACTGCGCGATTCTGAAGGACAACTCGTCGACAGCGAACGCCGGGCAGAGACGCTGGCAAATCACTTTGAGAAAAAGCAATGGGCTGTCCGGCCAACCACAACAATGCAGAACGTTGAGCACATCAACGAGGAGCTTCCAGTCCGCATGGGGCCTATCACTGAAGACGAGGTCCGAGCCGCAGCGAAACGCCTACGCAATGGCAAGGCAGCAGGGATGGACGATCTACCGCCTGAGTTTTGGAAGGCAGCGACGGACCAGGGAGAAACTGCATTGTCATGGATTACGAAATTTTGCAACCTGGTGTGGAGCACCTCAAGAGTGCCCGATTCGTGGCACAAGGCGAAGGTCACATTAATTTACAAGAAAGGAGACCCAGCATCCTGCGACAACTACCGCCCAATATGTTTGTTGCCGATCGGCTACAAAATGTTCGCCATGATCCTTTTGAGCAGGCTGAAGGAGGCTGGAGCCGAGAATCACATATGGAGGACGCAATTCGGTTTTCGTTCTGGCCGGGGCACCGCTGATGCGATCTTTATCGCAAGGAGAGTGTTGGAAGATGCATGGGCGACCAAGGACGGGGCTGCCTTGTTCCTCGCGCTCGACTGGGCGAAAGCATTCGATTCGGTGTCGCCCGAAGCGCTCGCAGTCTCACTCCGGCGGTTTGGATGCCCGTCGCATTTCGTCAGCGTTGTGTCTGCTATTTATCAGGGTCGGAAGTTCGTCGTGACCGACCGCGGAGAGACATCCCACGAACATGTACAAAACTATGGTATATGTCAAGGCTGCCCACTGTCACCATTTCTCTTCACCATTGTGGTGACTACCCTTCTCACCGACGCGCACGCTATGCACCGAACACGGGTAGGCCAAGTTCCAACGGAAAAGTTTGTGCGGGAACTAGTGTATGCTGACGACACGCTCCTGATCGACAGTGACCCGGATATCATCGAGGACCTCATGAAGTGCATAGAGATATGTGGAAGTCACTATGGGCTATCGTTCAACCTACAGAAAATAGAGATGCTGAAGGTGAAGACGGCGGCGGACGTTCGGGACAGCAGCGGTGAGTTGGTGACTTGCAAGGATTATCTTGTGTATCTCGGTACCCGTCTGTCCGCCGACGGAAGGAGCGGAACAGAATTGAGCAACAGGATTGGCGCAGCGGGCAAAGATTTCAAGATTTTGTCTTCGATATGGTCCCACTCTTCTCTTCCTCGGAGGAAGAAAGTCAAGATCTTCGAATCGTGTGTGGTGCCCAGACTATTATACGGCGTGTTTGCCGCCTGCCTGAACAAGACGGAGCGGAGGAGGCTAGACAGTTTTCAAGCACGTTGCCTGCGAAAAATATTAGGAGTTTCGCCGGCATGTTACAGCAGAGTGTCAAATGCAACCGTGTTGACAATGTCAGGCCGGAGGCCTATCAGCGAGACCGTCATCAAGAGGCAGATGCTCTTCATGGGCCAACTTGCGCGACGTCCTGACAACGACCCTGTCCGGCAATCTGTTTTCCAGCCAGGTGGTATAGATCTTCGGCCCCCGTCCGGACCTCGGCGACGAGGGCGCCCCAGGCAAGCGTGGGGAAGCATGGTTTTTCGCAATTGTCTTGAAGTCGCTGGTTCCCTCGACGCGCTGTCTGCATACTTTCACCCCTCAGGTGGGGCGGCAGCATCGTGGGAGTCGGCAGTGAGATCTTGGTGCCCGAACACAAGGTAGCACCGCAATTTGACATCGCGGTGCCATGTTTCACCTTGCTCGCGCGCCGTCTGGCGCTAGGCTTCTCGCTCGCTCGCTCGCTCGCTCGCTCGCGGCTAGGCAGAGTGATTGCGCTGGCGGTGAGGCGTTGGAAGATGAACGAACGAGAATTCGGCCACCATGCAGAGGGGGAAGGGAGGAGGCGCCCGGCCACGGCAGGACGGAGGAGGAAGCCGGGCCCAGCGAAGAACAGACAGCAAAACAGAAAGGGACGGTTCTAGTGACCCTCCCCCCCTCGCCCGCGGCAAGCGCTTCGCATTGCATTGGCGAGGGTATGACATGCGGCGTCCCCCAGGCGCAGTCTCCAGGCTCTAGGCGCAGTCTTCAGTCTCCAGTCCCAGGTCCCCAGTCTCCAGTCCAGTCAGTCCACAGTCTCCAGTCCCAGGTCCCCAGTCCCAGGTCCCAAGTCTCCAGTCCCCACTCCTCAGCATCCAGGCTCCAGTCTCTAGCACCCTCCAGTCTCCAGTCCCCTGTCTCCAGTCTCCAGTCTCCAGGCGCATTCCCCAGTCTCGGGCCTGATTTGAACCCATTGGGGGCCTCCTGGGGCTTCTGGGGCGCATCTTGGGGGCCTGCCGGCGATTTGGGGTTCATCCTGAAGCGGAGGGCGCGAAAGGTCGGTTCGAGTTCCCCCCTTTTGGAGCCTTCTTGGGCCCTCTTGGGGCGTTTTGGGTGTTTTGGGGGGCCCTCTTTGGCCGCGCGGCTGCGGCGCGCGCGCCAGCTTGCCGCAAGCGCGCGCGGCGTGCAGGCGCTCCTGGTCGGCGCCACAGCGCTGGCCCGCCGCCGCGGCGCGCTGGAGGCCTGACGCCCGTCTCCGCGGGCAGCCGCGGGTCGACGGAGTGTGTCGGGGGATGTCGTTGCGTGATATCTGGCCCCGGCGGGGTCCGGATCGACCCGATTCGATTCACGCCGGTCGCTGAAAGTGACAGTTTTGGGGCCCACGAACCCCAATTTGCTTCAAGCGCCTCCCTACTTCAAGAATCGGCATGCGTTTGCTGCGTTCTGTCATTATTTGGGAGGGCCTGGACCCAATCTACTTTATCCGCCTTCCTACTTCACGTTTTTGCCTGCTTCTTCCGACCGATCTGTGCCGGCTCTGGTTCTGGCAGGCTCATCCCTTACCATGTTGCTGTTTTCTTTGCCCCCATGGAGGGGGGAGGCCCATTCCATTGCCAGCAGCTGGTGCTCGACGAGAGCTTCAGGACGGCGGCACCAATGCGCCGATCGGCCTTTTGTGGGCTCTGGCGGCGCACACAAGGGGTTTAGATGTAGGGCTGGCACTTTCTAAGAAGCGGCCTCCTTTAAAATCCTTCCCCCCTCCCCCTACCCCCCTTGTGCGTGCATCCAAATCGTTGGGTGATATATGACCTTGGAAGGATCCATTTCGATACGATCGATCCGATTCGGTATCGGCTCTGGCCGGCCCGGTTCGATTCGATCCAGATGTTCGGGTGATCCGATGCGGCCCGATGTGTGCGTGGCGTTGTTCTACATCCTGGTTCCGCCGATTCCATTCGATTCCGATTCCGCGCCGATGCGGTCCGATTCGATACACGTTCCGATCCGATCCGATGTGCTGATCCGATGCTGACCGTTCCTGCGCCAGACCAAACCTCCAGGTCTGTTTTGGAGGTTGCGGCGGCGATCGCGGCGGCCACACATCGAGGTAAGGTTTTGTCAAGTAGTGGCATGCCCTTTCCCAGTGACCCCCCCGCTCTGCGATGTAGACGTGGCTCATGAGTGGCCGTATAGCGACGGAGAGTTGTCAAGGTGTGTCCATCACAGGAAGTCCTGTTCTTTGGGTAAGTGGTCGAGGGGCAACGTCAGGAGGTGAGAGGCCCAGGATGGGATACATCGAGACCCCCTATCGCCAATTGACCGCCTACGAGGCCCCGATAGCTCACTTCGCCCATGACAATGAAGCTTCGCCATCGGGGGCCCGATTCCAGCTCGATGTTTTTTCCCCCTGGTCCCGTCCCCCACTGACGTTCCCCCTTAGTGCCACTGCTTCCTCACCTTGCCGGTTGGCTCGGCGTCGGCTCGTAGAGCTCCGTGGCTACCCTGGCAAGAAAGGAAATTCCAACACCGTTGCCCGTCCGTCGTCGCCAAGGCCAGATTCGCTTCGACTCCTTGGTCGGAACGCACCTCGAGAGAGGTCTGCTGCTGCCCATCTCCGTCCGTGCCTCACCCCCGGGGCATTGCAGGCGCCTAGGTCCAGATTCCGATTCGATTTCGATTCTGCTTGCGCCAACGATGTGTTAGTCACTGATTCGATTTTGATTTCGAACCGATCCGACGCAGCGCCCAGGCAATCGAGCCGATGAGGTTTCGACGCCTCTTGGGGGCCGTTAGGGGGCATCTTGGAGCCGTTTGGGGACCCGTTGGGGGCCTCTTGGGGACCTTTCGGGGCGGAGGCTCGAATTTTCGGTTCGCGTTCCCTCTCTTGGGCTCCTGTTGGGGCCGTCTTGGGGCGCCTCTTGGGCCGTCTTGGGGCCCTCTCGGCTTGTCTTATCTCTGACGCACGCGCGGAAGGTCCACCAGAAAAGGGATCACGTTCAGCGTTGAGGTTTTTCGGGGCTGGGTGGGGACATTTATGAGAGCGTCTGAATGTTTCTTTGGGCCTGTCGGGGCTTTTGGGGGGCCGCTCGGGGTGTTATTTGTCGCTTGCCTGCGGGTCTGGGGGTCTTCTTTGGGCGGAGGTCTGGAAATGTGACTTCTACTTACCTCGTCTGACTTGGACGTTTCTTGGGCCGGGTTCGGATGTAGTTTTGGGCGGTTTGGGGGCACTCAGAGGGGGTTATGTTGGATCGTTCTGGAGCGACCTCGCGAGCTTGTCCAGCCGCCGTGGACACTGTGAAGACGAAAAAGGCGAATGCTCTGGAATACAAGTTGTTTCCATACATGTGGGGCGATGTTTGCCTCTCGGGACCCTCATGGAGATCCTTTTTGAGTCCTTTTGGGGTGTCATCGGAGCCAATTGGGCCCAGTGGGTGTCGGAGACCTCGGGGTGCTGGAGTCCAGTTGGAGCTAGCTTCGATTGGGCAATTTGGAGGCCGCCCGAGGCCCAAGGGGTGCGTTGACGAGCTCGACCGTCCCCCAGGCCGCCCCACACCTTAAACGCGATGCAGGGCCTTGGGGAAGGTGGAAAAGGGGAGGCGGACAATCACTCATTCCAGCCTTGTCACTGCCGGCAAGCGGGGGTCGGCAAATACATGCCCTTGTTATGGGCCCCCAGGCCTGTTTTCCCTTTTAGATCTCCTCTTTCGCTTCCGTTGATGTTTCACCTCAGCCTGCCTGTGGCAATTTGCTCGCGGTCTATGTTCAACCTGCGCAGGTCTGGTTCATGGCCCAAGTAGGGTACATGCCCATTGCCCTCTATCTGTTTGTGTGTTTGGGGGGCAGGGTGCATCTAGCCTCTTCCGAACAGCTTCTGCAGATGATTCCGAAAACCTTGTAGAAAGTGTTGTTGTTCGTTGTTGCTTGTTTCGTTCGGTGTTTACGATTCCGTTTTGATAGTTTGTGTGTGCATTTCCGTCGTTTTTGTTTTCGGTGTTGGTTCCGTTTCCGATGTCACTTGTCTGTTTTGTCCGTGTTGGCGAGCCGCTCGTTGCAAGCCAGATTCAAAAGCTTGATTTCCAGAAACGGTAGAAATGTTGTGTCGCTCCCAGGGCCCATCCCCCTTGCCGCTCCCAGGGCCCACTCTCTGTTGTCCTGCTCCTCTCCCGTTCGGGCCCTCGCCCTCCTGTCTCTGTGGCAGGAAAGAAGAAACACAGATGCACATCATCGCCGATTCTTACGAAAACGTGACGAAATATGCTTGAAGACGGCCCCCCCCCAAGTAAGTCCCAGCTGGCCTCAACATGCCCCCCGAGTAGTCCCAGCTGGCCTCGACAGGCCCCCCGAGTAGTCTGGGGCGGTCTCAACACTTCAATCCCGGGGCACGGAGCGCCCTGGAGGCGGCGCCAGGGTGTCGAGCCGGCGCTCAAGAGACGAGGGCCCATGCAAGCGGGGGTCAGCCAGAGCGCCGGATCTTGCAAGATCCTGCAGGGGGGTTGGGCCGCATTGGCCCGGGCTTGGGTGCAGGACCCTGCAGGATCCTGCAGGATTTTGCAGGATCTTGCAAGGTCTGCCTAACCCGGGTTTTCATTGACCTGGGTCAGCAGATCCCCGATTGAGACCATCCCAGATTATTCGGGAGGCCTTTTGAGGCCAGCCGGGACTGCCTTGGGGCCGGCTGAAGCCAGCTAGGACTACCTTTACGGGCTGTTTCTGCGCAGCCCGAGGCCTTACCAGTTCGTCATCTCTGCGCGTGGGCTCCGATGAAGGGTCCGTTGTAGTTGCGTCGGTCGTGGACTACACTTTGTCCCTCTCTCTTCCCCATCATCCTCCGTCACCTCACGCGTGCGCGAAATCTTAAGCTGCATGCCGATCCTAGGACGGTTCGCCCGTTTTGCCATCGTCATCAGCTCTCGAGGTGTGCGTCGTCGTCTGCTTTCTCATCGTCCTCCCTCTCCTTGCCATCGGATCGCCTCTCTCCCTGTCTCCCTCGATGCCTCCCTCTCCATCCATCTCGTCCTCGCATCCTCCTCTCAACATTGGGCTTCTTCTCGCCGCCCTCATCCCACTCCCCCTGCTTCAATGGACGTTGTGTTGGACACCTCACCACTGCTGGCGATGGATGGCCCGCTCGCAGATGCATTCCTACAGCCATATAACGCACAGAGGCACGGTCGCCAGCTGATGTCGAGTGCGACATATTTCAAGCGTGTCAGAGAGGAGAAGTGGATGGTCCAGCCGCTGACACCTATATTTTTTCATCAGTTGCCATCAGAAGTGTTATAACGACTTTTGCCAGTGTTCGCCCCAAGTGCAAAAATTAAGCTCAACCTCTTTGCGTGATGATTGGCGTGGCAATTGTCGCCACTTTCTTGCGCCCTTTCTGGGGTGGGGCAGTGGGGCATCATGAACACCCCTTAGTTCCTTTTGAGGTTCTTTTCTGCAAAACGTCGACTGTGTTGGCGGCGCGCCCAGGGGTTAATTGAGATGGATCGGGCCTTCTCAGAAGTCAGCGGGGCGTCGGAAAAGGCTCATGAAGCTTCCCGGAAGGGCGGAGGCCTTCTGAACTTTCTGAGGAGGCCCGCTCCCTTTGCCGTCCCCCCCCGGCTCGCCAACGATCATTGCGCCACGTGTGTGCGGCCTTTCTGCGGTCGGTGTGGTACCGCGCTGGCGCGTCACACGTGTTTTTCATTTTCCATGGATGCCCTGCGACGCACTCTCGCTGCGAGGAGCCCGACACAGGCACGTCCTGCTGCGCCTTATGGGCCGTTCTCTCTCGGCCGATCTGGCCCCATGGCTCCTGCGCGACGTGACACCAACGTGCCCTTCCTCTTCATCCTCCTCTCTGTCTCTGTTTCTGTCTCTCTCGCTCTCTCTCTCCCTCTCTTTCCCTCTCTGTTTCTCTCTCCCTCGCAGCAGCAGCAGCGGCTGCCCGCAGTCCACCCACGTGCGCGTGGTGGCCCCCGCGTGCGGGGCTCGGCCGACGCGTGAGTGGGGCCCCATGGACAGGGTGACCATTTTCGACAGGGGGGACAGGGTGGAGGGAGGCAACCAACCATCCTGTCGATCCTGAGGCCCACGGAGGGGAGGGGATGAGGAAAGGGAAGCGGAGGGGCCGTTCAGAAGTAGAGCGGCCGGTACCGAGGACGGCGTACTTTGTCCGTAGCGTTGAAAACGTCGTACGTTTCTCAAGGCCTTCGGTAGCATATCAGTATCAAAGTACCGATTGTTCTGGAATGCGAT